GATTGTGAAGGGTGTGAAAATGTATTGGGTCCTTGAAATATATGTATTAGCAGAGTAATGAATTGATCAAATAAAATTTCACTTCCAAATAAGAATAGGCGCTAAGCCCCTTTGTAAAAATATGCCATTTATACTTTAAAATTGATTTACTATATCTCAACAAAGATATAGTATTATCTTTATTAAGATAGAAAGAAAATATAAAATAAAAGATTCATAAAATTGCATTCATTCAGCAGAACAAATAATGTATTCCAAGAAAATATCGCCTTAGTAATAAAAATTTATCTGTGTAGTGCCTGAAGTGCAAAGTGCAATTCAATACTTCATAAAACCGAAAAATATTCGGGAAAACTCCTACGATGTATTTAGGTGCACTGAGCTTTCGCAGTTAACCTGATGGCTGCAATCGGATGCCACATCATTCACATCCTGGCAGTGACCGAGCGCAGCTGCGTGTTTCTGGAACAAAAAAGTGATTTTTCATCTTCAACTCTGGAACAAAAAAGTGATTTTTCATCTTCAACTCAAAATAAAGTGTTAAGTTTTGTTTAGTTATTAAAAATTTATTCCAAATAAACAATTGAAAATATTTGAAAAAATTCAAGAAAACCAAGGTAAAATATATTATTTATATATTTAATAATTAATTGTTATTTCAACCTATATATCAATTAATTTTATTTTAACTGGGCTCAAGGTCGGTTGTTTAACAATTAAATTGAGAATAAGAAATATTTTTTTTAAAAAACTTTTAACATTTTAAGTGTTAAATAACCAACCCTAAACCCGGTAATATTAAATCTATTATTTATGTATTTATTTAGAATTATGTTGTAATTTATTAGAAAATAAATAATTTATGTTAAAAAATTTCATTTTTAAAATAAAATTTTTTATTTTTTTTACTATTAAATTTATTTTAATTTAATTTTTAAAAACGACATTTCTACATCAAATCATTTATTAATTTTATTAATAATGATAATTTTAATAAAATAATTTTAACTTTATTAATTTTAATATTTTTTCACAGCTAATTTTTTTTTTGGTGAATAAGTAAAATTTTATTAAAAAAAATTAAAATTAAAAAAATTTAAATTGTAAAATAAATTTTTAATTCAAAATTTATTTACAACCACAAAAAAAAAATTATATAACGGTATTTATTCGTATTAACATCACTTTTTACATAAAATTAGATTTTTTGAAATACAGTCCATAACAGTTGCATAGAAAAGATTCGACTTATGGAGACTTCGAGTTAGAGAATATTTTTAATAATTTTTTTTATTTTAAAAGAAACTAGAATTACATTTTAAGATGTTTATTTATTTGCAATCAAGTAAAGCACAGAAGTTATAGTGAAGTAAAATATTCAGAAATTGGGGTTTGGGACTTTTTTTCCTTATTTTCAATAAAAAGAGATTTCACTTTATTCCAAGCAAGTGATCATCAGTTGCAGTGTCATTCGTTTGCAAACAAAAATTCAGAATTATGAATGAATCCTGTACTTCATTCTTGGCAGACTGATGAACAATTTCATTTACCGAACCCTTATCATCACTTTCCGTTACGCTTAGAATTGGACCCACCAATTCAGAGCTATAATGCTCAATAATATCAATATATCAATAATGTGTAAGCTCAATATAATCGTTAAGAGTTGCGTTGGAAGTTATTTTGTTCACTTTAAACCACATTTGGTTTGGAAAAAGAGACTTCCCCTAACAGCAAAATGAATTCATACTTAAAATAAAAATTGGACTAATAGAATTCACTTTCCTATATTCCCATTGGAACGCAACAATATTTTTATTCGAGTTATAGAGAAATTATAGAAATTATAGAAGTTTGAGTTATGGAAGCAGAATTGTGTGTAATTTGCACCCTAAAACCTTGGTGCACTGTTTTTGGTTCGAGTTATAGAAAATTTGAGTTAAAGAAGTATATAATTCGAGATATGGAAGTTTGAATGTTTTTAATTTTAAATTAAATTTTTTTAAAAAAATTGTTTGTTGTAATTACGGTAAGATTGTTAATATTATCAAGATTTTTCTGCTTTATTTTTATAAATCGTTTAACTTCACGTTAACTTAATACTAGAATTTTAATACGTTTAACATTGCGAATATTAATAATATATTGTATTTTATTTAATTTTATTTGAGTTATTTTTATTTTTTTCTAACATAAAATCTAAAATTTAGTTTTTAATTTTTTTTTGAATATGTGAAAAATATATATTAACAGCCTTATTCATAAAAATTTCTCATAACACTGTTAAATAACATTTATGAATAACATTTTGAATAAACAGTGTTATAAACCTTCTATAACTTTTTATGGATAAGGTTGTAAAAATATATAATATATAGAACTTTTCTTTTCCATAATGTAAAAATAAATTTCTTAAAGTCAAATTATTTTAACTTAATTTTTTATTATGGAGGGAATTCTATGCTCCGCGACCCATTTGGTTTATTGTGCCAAATCTATTGTATGTTGTGCTTATCTCTTATATCGGTCCTTGGGAGTTTAATGAAACTTGAACACCTTTAATAGTTTTTCTTTTGTTGTATATATGATATGAAACAACGTGTCTGTCTTCAAAATAAATAAGTCTATTGCTGCTCAGTCTCAGGTATACACATAGAATGTGTGCACACGTTTTAACTTCCCCTTCGCAGAATGTATATCTATTTTCGGTAGATATTGGTGTTTAAACAAAATTTCGGCAGTGTCGTATCAGAGACATAGTACGAATTTCATTATTCACTAATTGGTTGCTAAGTTAGGACTCTTTGTAGAGGTTTTCTACAGCATGACATCGCAAGACTACAGCCCTTTCATTATCTTGGTACTTTTGAATTTACCAAAAAGTAACGCAGCTATTTTATCATAGTTCATTAATGACCAATAAGTAGTTATTACCCATGAATTTTGACAGACTTTAAACTTTAAGACTAGTAAGATCGCTTGGCTTTATTATATTATAATAAATATAAATATAAATCATATTATACTAATTTATATATATACATTTATATATTTATATATATACATATTTTTATAATTCATATTAATTAGTATTATTATATTTATAATGAATATATTTTATATTGATATATATATATACATATATTATATTGATATATATATATATATATATTATATTAACAATATATATATTAATATGTTATATAATGCAATATATTACGTATACTTTTTTTATTTTTAGTTCTTAATTATTTTTATTTCAGTTTTCTTTTATTTACTTTAAAATATGAAAAAAATATGTTAAAAAATATATATCTTGAATTTCATTTATTTCAACTTTTTAGTTTTTTATTATTTATACCGGAAAACATCCATATCTCCGAATAACAGGGCATTTTATTAATTTATTTTGCGGCCTCCATTCTTTCCCGCCTCCATTTCGTTCCGATAAAGCCATTTTGATGTTGCGTGGTAAGGACGCTTGAATGCCAGGAATTCTGCTAATTAACAACAGGTGGTTAAGCTACCACAAGTTGCAGGGATAATAAAATGCGGATTATTAAATATTTTAATGTGGTAAAAGTTTATTAGAAAAATTTTAGATTTTGCATTAATGCACTCCGAAATGTTCTTAAATATTCATGCTCACGGAAATCCTAAAAGCTTTTCCGTTTCTTAATGGATGGAAGCGAAATTGTTGGGATTTAACTGAATATAAGAAACTATTTCTTAAGTGCTAGGGTATTTGTTTATTCCTTAAGATACAATAAGTTTGTATTTAAAGATGAAAATTATTTTTGCATTAACATTTTTTGAATAGTTGAAGAAATAATGAAAATGATAAAAAATTACACACTTATAAAGTTTTTTATATAAAGAATTTTATATAATTAAATCACTCAAATGTTTTTACTGTAAAAATCTTTAAATTAAATATTTGATATTTATTATATCATATAATAATATGAGATACGCCCCACCTCGTTCATGAGGCGAGATGAGGCGTGTATTTGTAATATGTTTGCAACATTTAAAGGATCTTTGTATACTGTCACCATCCTACAAACAATTTTAAATTAATTCTATACAAAACAGGCTAATAAAAGATAATAATAGTCAACGATATGCGGATATCTATATCCAAGTTCAGCTCTAGCAAAATAATTTGACAACATCTTTCCACCGCTGTGAGTATGACGAAGAAAGTGCTTTACAGCTGCTTCGTCATCGTTAAGTATGTAGTCAGCTTAGCCAAAAGAATCTTCGACAAGTACTTGCACTTCACCAGAATAAGTGCCACAAAGTACATATAGTTATAGAAATTGGTATTATGCTCAATGAAAGATCTGCAAATTTATTACAATTATATCTAATCCACCGTAGGCGCTAGAAATTTATACGAAAATCGTCAATTTAATTTTTTCCACATACCTTAAATTCGTGTTTCATTTTTGACAATATATGTGCAATACTGTAGTGACGTTGACATCCATTTGGACTAAACAACTAATCTGATCTAATCTGAAGTTGCATCTCGGCAAATCTAGGTATCAATATAATGTCTTTAATTAGTTGGCGCTGTAATCAAGTCAGTTTTAGGTCTAAAAATTCTAAAAACTCATGTAGAATTATACAAATATATCTCATCTCTTCCTCTTCTGAAACGAGCCAACACTTACATATTTCTGTCTATACAATTCAGAAACAACAAGTATATTATATCTGGTGAGACGACATATTATCCTTCTAGAACTAGATCCTAGATCTAGATCCTTATGTATTTATTATTTGTGAAAAGAATTTTCTTTAAACTATTTAGAAAAAAAATTTCCGTTAAATATTAATTTTTTCTGCTTCTTGAATAAAACGCAAGTTTTCTGTCAACTGTCCAATTTGGAAATTTTTATTCTAAGTCATATATCAGATTTAGTCCATTGTTAATTTATATAGTAAAATTTTGAATTTCGAATTTTGAATTTTGAATTTTAAATTTTGAATTTCGAATTTTGAATTTTAAATTTTAAATTTTGATTAATTTATGTCCTAAACATTATAAATCCAATAAGTAGTTAATGCTGCCAAAAAAGTAAATGGTTGCCAAAATCTAATCAAAAAATTTGGTGGAGGTATATCCACTATAGGCTGTGCCACCTCCGGCATCCGTATGTCACTGTCGGTATCCTGTACGATTTATTAAAAACAAAATATTGTATTTAAAAACATTAAAAAAATTTTTTTTTCTAACTTACGCTTGGTATTCGAACACGGGCGCGAACCCGCTTATTCTTATTCATTCCTTTTCGCTTACCTCCTTTACGTACCGGAGATGCACGGCGCTTAACAATACGGCGGCGAGTCCTCTTCCGCTTTCCTTGACGCCTTAGCGGTTTTCTTGGTCGTTTGCTTTTACCTGTAGACGCCACCTTATTTGCTCGGCCACGAACAGCACCGCGACGAGCACCGCGACGGGCACCGGGACGTTTTATTGCTTTACGCACTGCGCGTGCCGCGCGCTTGTGCTGTCCGCGACCGACTTTTGCACGTTTTTGTGGCTGCTTGACGCCGCCAAATTCCGCCTTTCCGATAATTGCCAATTTTTCCTGTGTCGGTGTTAGGACCGCCGATTTAACTTTCTTTGCGCCTGAAGAAGAATGAAAGCGTTATTTCTGTTTGCGTGTCTTAAGAAACATTCAACTCACCTCTAGTCATGTTTACGCACAAGTTTAAAATACAAAATATATTGTTAAGATGTAAAACTATCTCTGGCGTAAAAAATATAAGCAAATTAAACTTTCAAAATCTATAACAAAATATAAGAGAGTTTTTGAAACTAACTCCAGAAAAAAAAAATTTATAATGAAAACAGTTTAAATAACATTCCATTTACAATTCATAAACAGAGAATTATGATTATTGAAATATGTGGCAATGCCAACGTGATAATGATATATCATATATATCACCTATAGATTTAGGTCATGTCACTTATCGACTTGTCTATTAGCCATTTTGAGAAGTAGTCTACTAAGTTTTGAAAGCTATATTACATCCAACTATGTCCAACTATACTCATGTTTAAACTGTCTATACTTTATGTATAGCCTACCTAGTATTTTAAAATATATTTTATTCCATGGTACCAACATTTTACTCGTTATATATGTCAGTATCATTATACTGTCTTTCCGATTGCTGAAATTCCAACGGAAGTGCTAACCGGCATTTGTTCTTCAAGATGAGGGGCTGCAGATATGTACTACTACCTTTAGAAACCAATTAAAAATGTGTTTGCACCGTTTTCGGCCCATTCGAAAAATAGATTGAGCTTAATTTCTATTCACTGTGTTAACATGTCAAGTTAAAAAATTGGTGAAATTAAGAAATTAAGCAAACAGAGTAACGTATTTGAAACAATCCAAAAACTGTTGTTCTAATACTATATTTGAACTATTGTACTTAATTCAACAAATATACAACAATAAGTGATATTTTTTCATACAAAATCCATACAAAATTAATATTGAAAAGTGGTAAAGAACAGGAATAAGTCCAACATCAGATGTTAAAGAGAAATAGAAGACTATGTGTGAGAACACTGATAATATTATCTACTAAATGAACTGTGCCTTTGTCAATGGCTATACTTTTTTTTGTTGATTAAATAAAATAACAAATTAAAACAATAAAGTTAATTGTTAAACTCATTGTGAGTCATCGTTAATTTGTTGTGAGTCACCGTTAATTTCAACTGTATATCGAAACTGATAGTATTTTTTATTTTGGTGGATAATACCAAAATTGTTCACATAGCTTAATAAATATAATATAAATATTATAATTACCGGAAGTCTTCAGTGAAACACGAAAACAAACAAGCACCGTCGGATCATTTTCCATCTCCATCAAGACAATGCGATTGCTCACATAATTCGTCTAACAACCGACTATTTGTACATTCAAAAAATTGAATTTATGGGTCACTCGTCGTATAGTTCTCATTGACTTATTCTCAATGACTTATTCTCGTTTTCGAATATCAAGTATAAATTGTGTTGACAATGCTAATATTTTTTATCGGCGGAAGAAACCGTTCTGGTATTTAAGAACCATGTTTTGGATGGAACTGATGAAGTTTGGAAAAAATGTTTTAACAAATGGTTCGAACGCATGTAAACGTGTATTGATCATAAAGGAGAATATTTCGAGACACAATAAAGACATTTTTACGAAAATTTAGTATTTTTTTTTTATTATTAGGTTCAAAATATCAATAGTAACCCTCGTATATTTTTACTCACTTGAAAGAGTATCTCACAAATCATTTTCTTGAAGTTGGATTTTACCAACACATACTTATCTACATACACATACTTATTTTACCAACACATTTATGTACCAAACGCAAAAATAAAACAGCTATGTTAAATCCCATGATCTTGGTGGTCACATAATGGGTCTATTTCTGGCGATTATATTGTCATAAAATTTTTCTTCCAGTAAGTCGTTGATTGTTCTAGAGCAATCTATGAACTATATTCGCACATTTTTGGAAACAAAAAATCATTCAACATAATTTTTATTGGGGTCCATTAAAATCATCGACCATTCTGCAAGTATGGTTTAATGATGCACCCAGTTTTCAAATATTTTGTGCAAAACCTTTTACAGTTCGATGAACAGGAACCCATTTCTTGTGAACGATGTCGAGGCAATTAATTAAGGTTTTTGTCAAGACTTGCCGTAATGGTGGCAATGGTTGCAATGGTTGCAATGGTGCGCCTTTATGTAGTCTTGTTTAGTCGCAATCATCCTAAATTACAAAAATTTTAATTAAGAGATTAAAACTTAGCATTTAAGTTATCTTAAGTATAAAATTTATAACAAAGTACTTAGTAAAGACGCTTACATCGTTAACTTATAATTAATAAAGTTTCTAATCAGATTTTATTTATTCAATTTCAGGAAAAGAATTTATCGAAAGTAGAAGGTAAGTTTCCGCAGTTAGAAAATATTTTAATTTAATAACATTCACCACACTAACCACATTTCAACTACAATAAATTAATATTTCATACAAAATTCATACAAATAAATACTTTTAATTTGTTAAAAACATTAAGTTTACCAACAAGTAACGAGTTTGGTTGTGGGGTATACATATGTTTTGACAAAGGCATTAAAAATTAATATAAAAAAATTAAAAATTCAATCAAGTAAAAAACAGTGTTAATACTGATAATATATTATATATGTTATATTGAACAATATCAGCATTAGCTTCTGCACACTATTTAGACCAAACTAAAGTTTTCGTATGTTCTGCAAGTGATTTAGACAGTGAGCAATATTTACAATTAATATGTATTGTCTTATGAACAGAATTTTGGAAATATTGTACTTTTAGAAGAAAAATCTAAAGTCTTACAACTTCTGTCTAACACTACAGTAGTCACTTTACGTAACGCTCTACATAGATTAACCCCACCTTTAAAAATGTGTGTATTATTTTGGTATAGAAAATACAGTGGGGATGCTTATTTCAGTTAAAGTTTCTAAAGAAATCAGCCTGGCATCAATCAAAGTAATAAATTCCTATTTTTTGTTTGTATCTTTTTTCTTATAAGAACCAATTGTTGCTACTCATATCCTGGGAAACAGTAATAGCGTACCAGCCAATCCTTGGACAGACGGTGTTGGGCAGAATCAGGCATTAAAGCATGCTCAATTAATAAAGCCTGGCTTACAATATTTGAGTACCATGACTACCAATAGTCCAGCTACATTAATTTATATTAGGTATTGCTATGGAATAAACACGATTTTTGCTTTGACCGGAATGTCTACAGGGTTTTATAGGTGTCATCTAACAACGCAGAAAGCAAACATAAAACATCACTGACTGATGTATGTAACAGTGTACAGAACAGTACACTGTACATTATAAATATATTATAATGTAGTCCAGTTCATATAGAGAATATTTTAAATATATAACTTAATTATTTCATTAAATGATTTTACCGATCTTTACAGTTTTTCATTCAAACTTCATATGACAGACTTATTTCACCGCGACTTTTCCAATATGTAATTTTTTTTTATTTTAAAATATTTGTTTTTGATATTATTCTGAATATGCTAATAATATCCTATTTTGTAAATCCTATTTTTGATTGATACTTATTCATACTTTCTCTCTTTTCCCCCTCTCAGCGCGTTTCTCTTTTCTCTTTTCTGATACTACGAACATAGATCATCGCTCTGAACACTAAATAATTTAGAGTTTATGTCCATTCGTATTTAGTTTTCGACTCATGAAAATCTATTTTTTATTTTTGATGTAGTGGACTCCAGCAATATAATGTGAAAACCCATTACTTTTTGTTTCACTTTCGCATTATTAAATTTTTTGATCTCCCTTGAAGATCCATTGACAGTAGGCAATATCTCTGCATAAATATTTGTTATGATTTTTGGCTGTTTTTTTTAAATATTTCACTCAAATTTAATTCCTGAAAAATATTTCATTTATTCCATTAAATTTGCTGAGGACTGTCTTCACTCACGCTGTCCAACGGCCTTTTAGTCTTTTTGTTTGATTTTTCATTTGCAGAAGACAATTTTGCCCTTTTCAAGTGCAACGACGAATGGCCTTTAAGATGTGCAAATATATGGTATGTCTTTGTACCGTCGTCTCTGTACTGGATTATGTATGTGTCAATATGTTTTAAAGAACATGCGATTAACATTAAAATTAATTAAGCGTTTTTTCTTTCTTCGGTTTAATGGATTTCAAGAATTTGACGGTATAGACGTACAAAAACCCACTTAAGCGGGCATTCAATTTCATTAAGAAAAAATTTTGGATGTTTTAATGTTGTTTTCATTATTCTTATTTAATGCTTTTTAAATTTTACTTGTCGCGATATGTTTCATTATATGCAAATATAGTCAACAGATTTCATAACACATTTTTATTAGAGACCTTGGTTCTTATATTCGGATGCACTGGTGCACTGTTAAAAACTTCAACCCAACGTTTTGCAGTTTTTTTCATGCTATAGCATAGTAGTAAGTTAAAGTTCTATTATCACTTATGAAAATATATTTAAAATTATTTCTCTTTGGAATGCTTTTGAAAATAAAGTATTTGAATGCTTTTAGCTCGATTGGTACCACACAATATGTGCCAGAAATAGACGGATAGACAAATATTAACAGACGAATAGGCAAAGAAACAACCATAAACAGATAAGTCGATATTGTCAGATAGACAATAGATCGATTAACAAACAGTTAAATAGATATATAGCTAGTCGATAGATGTACAAAAATTGACTAAGCCTATTCCAAATAGACCCTAATTGTTTTCGCCAATTTTCAAAGACTCATTACATGAAATATTTCAGTTACCTTTACCCATCGATTACCATTAATCTCAATTCCCCATAGTTATTGAGAGATTTCTGACGCTATTATAATTTCATCGACTTTAAGCAAGCAATATCTTAAGGATATCTTTGCATGAGATTGTCTAGATCTAAAAGAGTTAAAGAAAGAGTACTGTTGAGACAACACATTACGCCGTCCTAAGTTGTGATGCATTTTCATCAATTTTTAATAAACACAATTCGTCAGCGGTAAATTTTGATTTCAAAAATAAAATTAAAATAAAAGCCTTCATATATCAAGTATATATCAACTATACAATAAATAAAGTTATAAAAACAATAAGTTAAATTTGATATTTATTGTTTATTCAATACTTGCATTATATAGAAATTTAGCCTGAAAACACAACATATGGTTTGGATTATAAAAGTTATGTTTCTCAGAAATGTGGGCTCTCAAA